AAATGCCTCCAAAATAAAGCAAAAAGAGACCACCAGAGATTAATTCATGAAAATCACACGTAGACAGAGAAAAATAGAAAGCAAAGCCACATGTGGCTATGAAGCTCCTGACTGCATTTTAAAGTACTCTTTCCTAGTTTATGAGAAATAAATTAAACCACAAAGAAAATAGAATTTTACTGTCACTGGGCATTTGGAATAAGTGGCAATGGACCAATGATTATTTATTAACTGCAATGCATAAAGCAACATGCCAAGGGCAGTGGCGATTACAGATGTAAGTCCATAAACTCAAAGAACTTGTACTATAACGTATGGGGATAATCATATACACGGTGTTTTCATTTATCAAGTAAGTGAATGAAAAAATACATAACAGTAAATACTACCAACGTTTAGGGAAAGAAGACCATACAATGTAGAGAAAGAAAGGCTTTATTGAGGAGGACCTTTAAAGATGGTTTAAATCTGGACAGGTAAGAGTAGGGCAAGGCACTGCTAGGCAAGCGAAACAGAATGAAGTATAAATGCACATCACATAATCAAAGGAACAAGTACCATGCCAAGGGAAACACAGGAATTTGGGACTGATGAAAGATGAGTTTGGAAAGGGGACCAGATGTTGGAAAGCCAGGTTAAAGAATTTAACTTTACCCCTTACAGTCACTGAAGATTTCTGAACATTGAAAACAAGAGATAGTGCTACAAAATTTCCCACAAGTTTTATTAGTGTTAAAGAGGAAAGACATTTCTTACTTAACTTTTAATTGCTCAAAACAGCCTATTATCTAACATTAATTCTATAGTACAAACAGTACTATAGTACAAACAGCTCTTATATCTCTTGATCTTCAGCCATTTTTAGTGGGTAGAAATTCTGACTAATAATGAAACATCATCTTTGATATAGTACACGAATACACAAATTGTGACTACCAGCTCTAAGAGGAAAGCAAAGTTATGGGGTTTTTTTGTTGTTTTTGGAGACAAAGTCTTGCTCTGTCACCCAGGCTGGAGTGCAATGCCGCAGTCTAGGGTCACTGCAACCTCCGACTCCCGGGTTCAAGCGATTCTCCTGCCTCAGCCTCCCAGGTAGCTGGGACTACAGGCACGTGCAACCACACCCAGCTAACCTTTGTATTTTCAGTAGAGATGAGTTTTTTTTGAGACAGAGTCTTGCTCCATCGCCCAGGCTGGAGTACAGTGGCATGATCTCGACTCACTGCAACCTCCGCCTCCAAAGTTCAAGCAATTCTTGTGCCTCAGCCTCCTGAGTAGCTGGGATTACAGGTGTGCACCACCATGCCAGGCTAAATTTTTTTTTTTTTTTAGTAGAGACAGGGTTTCACAACGTTGGCCAGGCTGGTCTCAAGTGATCCGCCCATCTCGGCCTCCCAAAGTGTTGGATTACAGGCATGAGCCACCGCACCTACCCGAAAGTTTTAAGTTTCAAACACTGAAAAAAGTCTCAAAATTTTGAAATCCAAGTATTAAAGATTTTATGATATCTTTAGACATAACAAATGAGTACCAATTTTGAATTTTTTATATGAGATATCCTTTGGTTTATGAAAGTAATTTGTTCCTCACAACTTTTCTCTTGGTAGAAAACTTGCTTTCAATAATTTATGTGGAAAAAGTTATAATTATCTTCCCCCAAGCAATCACTCATTTAAAAATAAAATCTGAAAAATCACTGTTTCCCCTAATAAAACAAATGCCTCTATAAAACAAGAGCTGAACGTTGATAGGGGAGATACTGCAAAATAACAAGATACAGCAAAACAACAAAAGGATATGAGACATCAGCTGATACAGCTCAAGAAAGAAATGTAAGAGAAAAGTAAAACCAAAACAGAAAAAGAAAAATGCCAAATTGGATGCAGTATGAAGGAGAATAGATATTGTTGAAAATACACTAAGCGACATGGTAATATACTAAGAGCAAAGCAAGCAATAAAATAAAAATTAGCAAAAAACTTAAAAGGACTTCCAATATAAGCATAACCAATGTTCTCAAAGAAAAAGAATGTGACTCAAAAATGTTAGCATTCAATCCATTACATATTTTTATTCAAATACAGTGACCCAGATAAGCATTTTTGAACATGAAAGACAGTGGGGAATATAATTCCTATGACCCCTACTTGAGGATAAACTTCAGTTAAGCAGAAACCATAGCAAAAGGCCTGGAGGTGAGCTTTGAATTCATTCAACTGTAGAGCTACGACTAAATCAAAACAGGAGATTATGATTGCACAACAAAATGTGAATGTTATGAACCCTAATAATATGTTTTCTAAAAAACCACATTGCTTTCATTAATGATTAAATCACCAAAGTAAACATCACCAGAATACCTAGGCAACAATTCACAAACCTTACAAAATTATGTTACATTTAGTTCTCACTTTCCAAATTAATGAACGATGCACCAGTGTTTCTATTAAATTATAAAGTGAAATGATTCATTGATGCCTATGTCCAAATCTCTTTCTTTGGATTGTTTTTGTTGTTTGGTGGGTTGAACTACTGTTCTTTGGTTTGTAAAATTAAAGTGCAATGCGGGCAAGTACTTTCGAAAGAGCCTACTCTTGATCTCTAGAAATTTCTTTGGGAAGAATCTGGCAGTCACTGAATTGAAGACTATAAAAACTTCTTCAGTCATTCAAGCCATAGAGGACCCTGGCCTAATTAGAATTCTCCCTCTCTAGCTGCCTTCTTCTAGTGCTTTTCAGAGATCAGCTTTTTTTCTGGACCTGTGTAGTGAATTGTGGACCTGGGTAATGAAACCCATACATGCTGGTTAATTAAGTGAAAAGCTACACAAGCATCTCAAAAAGTGAACGTCTAACCTTGGAAACATTAAATAATTTTGCATCGCTAACAGCCTCAGCAGTTGCTTTTTTTTATTATTGAAAATTGTTTGCATGACTGAAATAAGGATATGTGTGATATGTTAGACATCTCTGTTTCTTTGGCCTACTTCAATTTACACAAACAGGAAATATTTTTTGAGTTCACAACTTCCTTTAATACGTGTTATTCTTTTTTTTTTTTTTTTTTTTGAGACGGAGTCTCGCTCTTATTGCCCAGGCTGAAGTGCAGTGACGTGATCTCGGCTCACTGCAACTTCCACCTCCTGGGTTCAAGCGATTCTACTGCCTCAGCCTCCTGAGTAGCTGGAATTACAGATGCCCACCACCACACCCGGCTAATTCTTGTACTTTTTAGTACAGATGGTGTTTCGCCATGTTGGCCAGGCTGGTCTCGAACTCCTGACCTCAGGTGATCTGCCCGCCTCGGCCTCCCAAAGTGCTGGGATTACAGGCACGAGCCACCGTGCCTGATCGTGTTATTCATTATTTAGTCTAATTTTGGGATTGTGATATTATAAAAATACAATTGAGAGTTTAAAAAGCCCATATTCAATCAACAAAGTATCTTCTTTGGCTGTATGTTGCAGTTTCCAAACTGTTTTGGTCTCACAACCCTAGGAAGTACAAGATTTGTGGGCATATATTCCACAACATGAATATACTTATTTATAGAGGAGCACATGTGTTATTATATTAATATACTATGTACATGGTTAAAGTATAGAAATTTCTAAAGAATTAAAGATAAAAATATTTTATTCATTAATGGCAAATAACTTTCTGATGTCACTAGAAATTATTAATAATACTTAACTAGAACAATGTACATTAATATACTTTATTATTTCTGAAAATCTTGGCTTAATATTTTGTAAGTGAGCAATTTAAAATTCAATTTGTTTTGATACTTGGTTTTAATGGATAGTACACGTAACTCATGAAAATACATAGATCAAAATGGGAAAAGGTCATCATGCCACTGGCTCCATCCTCTGATAATGTAAAGGTTTAGGAATTTGAAAATTTGTTGTGTTTTCTAAAATTATTATTTTGTTGTTAACGCCAACTAAAATTCAGCTGGTAAATGTCCATCTTTCCTGATATCTTGCTATTGAATTATATATATAATTATATATGTTTATATATGTTAATCACATATAATCATATATACAATTATTAATATATAATTAGTTATATATATTTATGTATAATTATATATAACAAATTATATACAATTATATTAATTATATAATTATATATTGCATATATATTAAATGCAATTAAATAGTTATAGATTATATATAATTAAATAATTATATATTACATATTATATATACTTAAATATCTATAATCAATTATATATTACATATATACATTTATATATAATTCCAATCATAATTATATATTATATATATAAAATTCAATAGTTTTAATACATTTTCAAGATATACTCTAACCCATGGAAAGATGGACAAATACATATATATATATATATGTATATACACATTTTTTTTTTAAGAGATAGGGTCTTGCTCTGTTGCCCAGGCTGGGGTATAGTGGTGCAACCATGGCTCACTACAGCCTCAAACTTCTGGGCTCAAGAGATCTTCCCATCTCAGCCTCCCAAGTAGCTAGTAGCTAGGACTACAGGTATATGCCAACACACCTGGCTAATTTTTGTATTTTGTGTAGAGATTAGGTCTATGTTGCCCAGGCTGGTCTTGAACTCTTGGCCTCAAGCAATCCTCCTGCTTTGGCCTCCTAAAGTGCTAGGATTGAACCACCACACCAGGCCAAATTTCTGTTTTTAATAATTGTGTGCTAAAATCACCAACTTTGTAGATTTTTTTTTTTTTTTTTTTGAGACGGAGTCTCACTCTGTCACCCAGGCTGGAGTGCAGTGGTGTGATCTCAGCTCACTGCAACCTCCATATCCTAGGTTCAAGTGATTCTCCTGCCTCAGCTTCCCGAGTAGCTGGGACTACAGCACATGCTACCATACCCAGCTAATTTTTGTCTTTTTAGTACAGATGGGGTTTCGCCATGTTGGCCAGGCTGGTCTCAAATTCCTGGCCTCAAGTGATCCACCCACCTTGGCCTCCCAAAGTGCAGGGATTACAGGTATGAGCCACTATGCCTGGCCAGGACATTCCATTTTAAATATACCAAACGTGCAGATATGAATTTTAATAGGTGACATACATTATGTTTTAAAATAAAGTAACATTTTCAAACATCTATTTCAAAAATGTTCTCCCTATAGCACAGCTTTTCTTCTAAGAAGGTGTTATTTTCTCATTCATCATTAAAACATTGCCTGAATGGCTACATTTAAATATATTTCTCAAAAATCTATATAAGGTAGTATCTACTAAAACCATTTAACACATAAAGTTCATCAAATTTGGACAACTTGTCTTTTTGTAAAAAGAAAATGAGTATCAATTTTTAGTTCCTTTGTTAAAAACAACTTTTGTATGGTAAAAGTATACTGATATTCATTACCTATCTCATCACAAAATACAAAGATGCTACATTTTAAAGGATTTGCTTTTACAAAATCAACTAAGTAATATTTTCCTATAAGCATTGTGTATGCATCTGGCTTTAACTTCTTTGCTCTTCTTCAATAGCTTGCTTAGTAGCTTGCTTGTCAACGATACAGCAAATGAATTTCATATATGTCACTGTTAATGATAATGACTGCAAATCTTCATTCAAATAACTTATTTAATAATTTCTATTGAGAAGGGCTGGCTCTGGTCGTATTTCATTAAGTTACTTTTATCCCAAATGGGAACATCTGCGAGATGTCCCCCAATATCCATTCTCTCTCCCTCTTCCTTGGTATCAAAACCTCTATTCGTGGGCACATCATTGCCCAGAGCAAAGACTACCTTTTCCAAAACTCTTCCCCTTTGCAGCTGTGCATGACCTTGGAACTAAGTTTTGGTCACTGGGTTGTAAGTGGAAAAAATATATGTCCTGAAAAGGAGTGCATACCTGCTGCTTTCTTTTTCTCCTAACCAGCTGGAATTCAGATTTGACTGCTGAAACTTAAGCAACCATCTTGGAGCAAGAGGGAGAAGCCAGGTGTTGATACAGCCAGAGCAACAAGAAAACGGGCAATCTGGATCCTTCCCGACTGTGTGGTCAACATTCATCCCTGGTTTGCCGATGTTTATATGACAGAGAAATGAATTTCTGTATTTTCTGAGTTTCTGTTCTTTTGGGTTTTCTGGCTCTCACTAGTGTGCTGAACACTAATGAATACACCTGTTAACAGGGTTGATGAAGAGCTCATGCTGGGAGTCAGAGAAGAGACAGCTCTGCTGTGTTCCCACATCAGCATGTGCTTGCACTATTAATATTACCTTCAATCTGCAGTTTCCTAACAGAGACTGCTTTTAAGCCACTTGTCCATTTTGTCAGGACTCGTTCATAAGAACCACATAATATAATCTTTAAATCCACTTTATCAGGTATGTGTGAACAGCAACATGTGTCAGTGGCTTTGAAAGCAAGGGAATGAGGGGGCTACCATCAGGCAACTCCAACTGCTCTCTCCAGACAACTCAAGAATCACATGTAACCTGTGTTCGTCTGAAATGCAGACCATGTGAGGACACCAGCGTCCATGCTAAATATTACTAAAGCTTCATTTTCCCTTGGGTCACACGTAAGTATCTGAAGAAGTTATTCTTTCTTCCTATTCCTCTCTTGCTGCTACTCATAAATGCTTGTATGCACCTGCCTGGTGTGCAAGCGCTCCCCCGACTTTACAGTCCACTGTCACGGGTGTGGAAGGACCCATAGTTAACTGTAGATTTCCTTCCTGGATCATGACACTATGCTGCAAGAGACAAATGTTCCTGACTGAAAAATCAGAATAAATAAGTGCTTTCCATAAAATCAAAAACATGTAAAAGCAAACGGTAAATCAAAAGAGGATAGTGTACAGAAGGATTTTGATGCCTCACCTGAATACTTCAAGAACAGTCCTTTCCGGTAACTTGGGAGCCACCTGCCTAAATGCTTTTTTGAAATCTTCCAAAGTTAAAAATCCACGATCTATTTGAAAACAATAAAAAATATTCACTTACTTTGATAAGACCTATCAACTGTTACTTCAGCCATAACATTTGTGAAAAACTTACTTTAACATATTACTAGGAGAAAAGCAGTAGTTTATGGTTGGTTTCACATATAAGGTAATCTGAGATTGTCTCATTGGAATAATTTGAGATTCTAATAATACTTTCCTTTAGTGCAGTCCCAGCTGATCTTGAAGGTCACTTCTGGCCCTATCATTTTGCCGATTCTCTCAGTCCCCGGGATAGCACTATACGGAGACATGCACTGTAACAGTGGTGTTAGACTTTGAGTCTTTGTGAGTTACCAAAACAAGGCAGTCTTCAAAATTCATGTCTTTTCCTTTGCTTGGTATTAGAATCATGAAATATTAATATTTAGAAGGAAACCATAACAGCAGTCAAGACATTGAACCTAGACGCCATGAGTCTTTTCACTCTGTGTATGATCTGTGGGGCCTAGGGGGTCTATAGCCACCCACCCCTCTCAGCCACACCCTATGTGGGAAAACAATTCCATCAATCATATAGTAGGTCAGACCAAGAGTTGATGAAGAAGTCACACAGTTTCCCACAAATCCATAGGGGGCTCATGGCCTATATCCCCCATGGCCAGTCCTTTGGTGGTCCCCATGACAATCAAGGTACAATATATTAATACAACCACATAACTGTAAATACCACTTCATCTGCGGTAAATGTCAAGAATTTAAAATCACGATGGAGAAAAAAATGTGCATCAATACCTAAGGTAACATCTAACGAATACAGTAATATAATCTTCCAAGTATATTATATATTTGATTTACTGGGTATATAATCCTATTCGCAATCCCTTAATAGCAATTTTTTTTTTTTTTACATCAAAACACGTTAGAGACACTTACAGTATGTGTCAAAGGCTGTGAAGATGTGTCTTACTTCATTCCGATACCGTTGAGCTTCCTTCTTTTTCCTGACAATATTTAAAAACCCCTCGAGTAATATACCTGAAAGTTGGGGAAAGAACAATTTGTCAAAGGTTACTGTCTTTCTCTTTAAGAAAAAATTAAACAGAAATGAACAGTAATAAATATCACCAATAATCTAATTTTACCTTAATTGTGGTGAACAGTATTTACTCAAGATCTGTAAAGTTTCCTGAAGACCGAAAAAGGTATTTTGCTAAATGCTAACATTTAACAGACCCAACACTAGAAATCAATAGTGAAAATGCAAGACACTTTTAGGGTTCACTGAGCTTTTTCCAGGGGCAAAGAAATGGTGACCTTGAAAAAAGTGTAACACTCTTCCCTGCAACAGATCTAATAGGCAGGAAACTACTTATTAAACAAGGTCTCATAATTTTTCTTTCCTTATGCTTCTTTGATCCCTTTTTTCCTAGCCAGATGTCACTATGGCAGGTTTTTTTCCAACTGGGAGATCGGGTCAGAGAAGTAGTTTCTTAAAAGTCAATACCAATTGCACACCACAGATAAAGGTGGAGAGAATATTACATAAACAATGGAGCTGGCACCATCCCCAGCCCTGGATACACCCCACAACGTGTGGAGCAGCCTCAGGCTCAGCTTCCTGCGACTCTCATAATAAAAGAGCCCAGCATGATAAAATGAGATTGGATACTGTGCTTACAATGTCTATTAAAATGAATTCTAATGTGATCTTTGTAGTAGGTTTAAAGAGCGAAGCCAAGAATTTAAACATTTTAGTGAACTGAGCTCTACATATATAAAAAGAGCGGTTCATTTTTGTAACTCAAAATTTCCATAAAATAACATTATCACTCTGTTTTAAAAATAGCCTCTAATCATACAATAACTACATGTACATTTTTTTTCTTTTAGTGAGGTAATACTAAGCTGTATACCTTTTGTAAAATAGTTCCAATCATTTAAAAAAAATGTAGAAATGATTTTCTTAATTTCCTACATCTTTATTTATATTTAAAGATTTAAAACGGAAAAAAAAATGTCTTTTTGTTCTTCAATGATTCCTTTATAACATTTTAGGACCTACTATGGGCCAGGCACTGTATTAAGCTTTGGAAATAGAGGGAAAAAGAGAATATACGTGATTCTAGTCCCAAGGGAGCTACCGATCTGGTGCGGAAGGCAGTCAATTACACAGGTTTAACTGCAAACACACACCTCAATGCAAACTGTGGCATGGGCAATGAGCGGAAAGACAGGAGGCTGTGAAAAAGATTCACAGGAATCCTCATGTAGAGTAGACTCTGGTGAAGGAGAGATCCCTTCAGGGAGGAGATATTTAAGCCAAGACCTAAACCATGAGACAATACCAATGACCTAGTACTAGGAAGAAGAGCATTGCTGGCAGTAGGAACAGCCTGTGCCAAGGCCGTCGGGTGGCAAGGTGGGAAAATGAAAACAGGCTGCTGTGGTTAGAACAAAGTGAGCCAGAGAGAAGTGATACAAGATGAGGTTGGGGAGAGCAGCAGGGGCCAGAACTCACAGACTCTTGTGGACCACAGTAAATAATCTGGGTTTTATTTAGGCTGCAATAGGAAGTCAACAGAAGGTTTGAATTGGGAAGTTATATGATGTGAGTTTTGAAATATCTTTCTGGCCATTATCTTGATAAAGGGACTGAGGTGGGGGAGCAAAAATGTAGAAAGAGAGACCAGTTAGGAGCCTACTGGCAAGAGATGTGGTTGCCAGGGTTGCTGGCAGTGGGGATGAGAGGAGTGGAAGGTTTCCAGATACATTTTAGAATCTAAATAACATAGCTTGATGAAGAACTAGATGTGGCGGGTGAGAAAGAAGGAGACGTCAAGAATATCCCATAGATTCTGGCTTGAAGAGCTACTTAAAGAGAGGAGAAAGTCTGGGAGAAGAGCAAAATTGGGGTGAGATGAGGAGTTGCCATTTAGCTGGGTGAAGTGTTCAGTGCTCTGGAGACAACCAAGAGGAGAAGTTCAGGAGATGGCCGGCTGTCTTCTAGGCAACAGGGCATATCTCCCTCACATACCAGAGTGCCTGGCAGGTGCTCAATCTGCGTACTGTAGCAAATTAGCATATGTAGCATTTTTTTCTGTAGTTGTGGGGATACATATTGATGCAGCTCCATTCTTATCCAATCACCCTTGTGACAGAGAACATATGCCAAATTGCTAGCTGAGGTTAAAATTGAAGTCTAGCCATGCCATGTGCCCATAAGGTCATATCCATAACTTTAGCTTCAAGAACACCAAAAGCTAGTCAATTAAGTAGCATCTAGAGTAGCTGAAATTCTTGAATAATGTATTTACTGATAATGGCATGTCCTTGGAGACCCTTCAGAAACGTACCCCAGTCTACCTCTCAAGACTTCCTAGTCAACTTCCTAGTGCTTCCCCAAGCCAAGAGGCCCTTTCACACTCCACACCTTTGCATGTATAAAACACACTGCCTGGAATAATGCACTTTCTCCTTGTTTCTCCTAGGGAATGTTTACATCTCCTTCCAGATGCAACCCAAGCCTCATCTCCTATTTGAATGTGTCTCTGATTTCTCTCAGCTGAGTCCTCTTTCTGTGACCCGACAGCACTCTGTTCATCATGCAATCATAGAAGTGATTAGGATCTATGGTAATTATTTGGCCACATGTCTGCCTGAGACCTGCTGAGGGAAAGCAGTGTATAGTGTTCAAAATTTTATCCCATGTTTAACATAATGCCTAGCAGACAGTAGGCATTCATTACATGTTTGCTGAGTAAGTAACGTTCAATGAATAATAAACAAGAAGATGTTGTTTAGAGTTTTAGCAAAAAGCATTAAAATGTATGTGGGTTTTTTTTTTTTTTTTTCCCTCCTATAGACATGGTCTTGCTCCGTTGCCCAGGCTGGAGTGCAGAGGCTAGTCATAGGCATGGCCACAGCGCACTGCAGCCTCAAAATCCTAGCCTCAAGTTATCCTCCACCTCAGTCTCCCCAGTAGCTGGAACTAAAGGCATATGCCACCATGCCAGGCTTAAAATGTGTGTTTTAGACCAGGTGTGGTGGCTCACGCCTATAATCCCAACACTTTGGGAGGCAAAGGTGGGCAGAGAGGTTGAGGTTAGGAGTTCCTGACCAGCATGGCCAACATGGCAAATCTGTCTCTACTAAAAATACAAAAATTAGCCAGGTGTGGTGGCTCACACCTGTAATCCCAGTAATTTGGGAGGCTGAGGCAGGCAAATCACCTGAGGTCAGGAGTTTGAGACCAGCCTGGCCAACATGGCAAAACCTGCCTCTACTAAAAATACAAAAATTAGCCAGGTGTGGCGGCATGCACCTGTAATCCCAGCTACTCGGCGGGGGGCTGAGGCATAAGAATAGCCTGAACCCAGGAGTTGGAGGTTGCGGTGAGCCGTAATGGTGCCACTGCACTCCAGCCTGGATGACAGAGCAAGACTGTCTCAAAACAGGAAAAAAAAACAAAAAACAAAGAAACCCATGTTTTAAATGATCTTATAACTCTGTAAATGAATGCCAAAAAGTAGGTCTCTTTCTATTCACATAGCCAGCAAAATAAACTGTCACTTCGGAAACTCCCATTTCTTAAAACATATGATATAGTAAAAGCCAAAGAAAATTCAGAGACAACTACATTCATAATATTTGCTCTTATCATTGCATTTGACTTAGAGAAGTGATAAAGGGAAAAAAAGCACAATTCCATAGTTCACTGTGTAATTCACAAGGAAAAAAAAGGACCTGAGTGGTGATATCTTTTATATTACTTATTCAGATAACTCACGAGTATTTGGAGCTATGAAGTATTTAGGTCTTTATTTCACAATTTTGTAGGATAAAAACAAATGTTCTTTAGCTTTTACTAGGAGAAAATGTATGTGGATTTAAACTGCATGCCTATTACCACTTAAAAGGAAAAGCCATCCAAAAACACCAATTACTCCATATGTGTAATCAATTTCTTTCACACTATTTTCCCACAAAATCATATACTTTATTTCTTAAAGTCCATATTCTAGGGGTTAAACTCATCAAGCATATATCGTGTGAACATTTCCCCTCCCTTCTATGCCCTTAATTGTCTTAGTCTTCCAAGGCAACATTTATCCAAATACAAGCCCCTTTTCTAAAAACCACAGAGGAATTTTTTGTTCAGCTCGGCTCTCATGTTGTAGTAATATGATCACTTTCCAAAGCCAATACATAATAACACGCTATTCCTGAAACTCCACAATGAAAACACACTAATGTAAGCTGTATACACCTAGCTCTCTAAATAGCCTAGAAATAGAGTTCCTACTACTAGCTCCACCTGCTGTCACAACATTCACACCTAAAATTACCACTTCACAAAGGCTTTCAGTAATTCTACTGACATCAGATTTCATACCCAATAAGAAATGTATTACCTGTGTCCCCTCCCACCCCGCCTCCAGAGGAAGAATATGTTCAGAAAATTCTAATTTCATATACAATGTTAAGTCTTTTGTGTACACCATTTCACTACTAACAGTTACTTAAACATACTTTACTGTGGTTACAAATGAGCATCACAACGTTAGGAACCACACAGGTCTATGTGTTTATCTATGTTTATTGTTAATATGTCTGCAGAAGGTATTCAGAAATTGCCTGGGTCATTGGACTCTATCAGTAGTTGGCAAACTTTTTTTTTTTTTTTTTTTTTTTAGCTGGAGGAAAGGTTTTTCTTTATATGAAAATGGAAAGCCTCATCCATAGAGGAGATGAAGGCGGAACTACTTGGTTTGAAGTGGGTGGGCTTCCCATTCTTCCCTATCCAGCAGTGTCTTTTGAATGTGTCCCCAAAGAATCGAGGATTGAGGATCATGGTTTAAAGACCACTGGACCAATGATTTTTTTTTTGAGACGGAGTTTCCCTCTGTCACCCAGGCTGGAGTGCAGTGGCCCAATCTCAGCTCACCGCAAGCTCCGCCTCCCAGGTTCACGCCATTCTCCTGCCTCAGCCTCCTGAGTAGCTGGGACTACAGGCGCCTGCCACCACGCCCGGCTAA